TTTGTAGTAATATTGTTCTATTATTATAATTACTTGTTGTACCGTGGAGTGAAGGCCTACATTTTATCCTCTACTATACTGCTGGTGGTATAGATTATACATTTATTCTACTTGTTATTCTGCTGGTAAATTTGATCCACAATATCTTAGGGCAAGATTAATGGGATGATTCCTAGGATATTATTTTAGTTATATTAGTATCTAAGAGCACTATATATTCATAATTATGCCTTCAAGGAACAAACAGAAAATGACATGGTTAAAATCAGGGACATCCTTGTAAAGTCAAGACAATGAAATACCTAAAGGTTCCTAACGCTACCTACTGAACCTGCACCATTATAATAGCTACATATTAAAAATATAATGTTCTCGTTGTTAAGTTCTCTTGAGTTACTTCTAACTCATAATGACCCTACACATAACAAATGAAACACTGCTCAGTTCTATACTATCCTCACAATCACTGCTTTGCTTGAGGCCACTGTTGCAGACACTGCGCCAATTCATTTCATGGGGAATCTTCCTCTTATTTACTATCCTTCTCCTTTACCAGGAGTTCTGGTGTGGCACTTCAGGATAACCAATGATCTGAAAGGTCGCTTCAGCTACAAGGTTGATGATCCAAATTCACCAGCTGCTCCTCGGAAACCCTACACAGGGTCGCTATGAGTGAGAACCAACTTGATGGCACTTAACAATAACATCTACTTTACCAAGCATGATGTTCTACTCCAGCGAATGGTCCCTCCTAATAACATGTCTCAAATATGTGAAATGAAGTCTTACCATACTTACTTTTAAGGAGTGTTCTGGCTATACTTCTTCCAAGACTAATTTGTTTGTTCATGTAGTCCACAGTATATTTAATATTCTTCACTAACACTATAATTCAAACATATCAAGTCTTTTTATGTCTTCCTTATTCATTGTCCAGCTTTCAAATGCACATGAGGAGAGTGAGACTACCATGACTAAGGTGAGGAACATCTTAGTCCTCAAAGCAACATCTTCATTTTTTAACACATTAAAGAAATCTTTTGCAGAAGATTTGCCTAATACAATACAGTGTTTGATTTCTTGACTACTGCTTCCATGGGCATTGATTGAAGATCCAAGTAATATGGAATCCTTGACAATTCAATCTTTTCCCTGTTTACCATGATGTTGCTTATTGGTCTAGTGTTGACGATTTTTGTTTTATTATCTTAAGGTATAATCCATATTGAAGGCTGTTGTCTTTGATTTTCATCAGTTAAGTGCTTATAGTCCTCTTTTCTAGCCATGCCATCTTCATATTGTAGGTTGTTAATGAGTCTTTCATCATTCCTGATACCATGCTTGTCCTCATATAGTCCAGCTTCTTGGACTATTTGCTCAGGATACAGATTTGAAGTTATATGGTGAAATGATACCACCTTAATGCACACCTTTCTGAATTTTAAACCATTCAGTACCCCTTGTGTTGTTCAAATGACAGCTTCTTGTTTTATGCACAGATTTAGTATGAGCACAATGAAAACAGTATCAGTAACTCTTGTAAAAATAGTACACTGTTGGATGATCTACTGGTATTGAGAAAGAGAGGGAGAGAGGGGGGAAAAAGAGAGAGAGAGAAAGAAAGAAAAAGAAAAAACTGTTTCAGCATGTTTTGGGAAGGCAGCAAGACTCCAAAGGCATTAATGACATGGAGTCCTGGTGTGGCACTGTAGGATAAGTACTAGACTGTGAACCACAAGGTTGACAGTTCAAACCCACTATATGCTTCTAGAAACCCTATACAGGGTCACTATGAGTTAAACCAACTAGATGGTACTTAAACAGCATATGGAATCCTGGTGTGGAGCTGTAGGATAAGCACTGGACTGCAAGGTCAGTTTGAACATCAAGGTCGGTGATTCAAACTCACCAACCACTCCTCAGGAAAACTACACAGGGTAGCTTTAAGTCGGAACCAACGTGACAGCACTTAACAACAAACAGCATATAATCGAAGAGTAGAACCTTCCAAAGTTACCATAGGTAACATTTGACCTCTTGATTATTGTCTGTATCTTCTATGAGCTTTTGTAATTATTCAAGGTAAGACACAATACTGACAATAAAACACATTTGTTTCATCAACTTAGAATCTAATTTTTTAAATCAGTTTCAGTAGGTTGACAAGTGTGGAGGAATGATTGGTATCAGTTTCCAAAGCATTTTCCATCTGCTGAAATAAAGCACATAGGGTAGACGGAAAATTCTGAAACCCAAGACTATATTATTAAACAGCTATGGGCTACTGGAAAATTAAATAATCAGACATGGCATGGTCAAGAGTTATTATCCCAAGCTTCGGTAACACAACAGTCTTTTCAATCACATGTGGTCATTACTGTTAGAAGTAGTCATTTCTGACTTGTGATGAGGCAAAGGGGAGCCACTCAACAGGGTTTTCAAAGCTGTGAGCTATTGGAATAGATGGCCAGGTCTTACTTCTTAAGTACCTGTGGGTTAGTGTGAAACATCAACCTTTCAGTTAATAATCGAGTGCTTAACAATTTGGGCCACCAGGAGTCTTTTCAATCATATATGGATGACTCGATGGCGCTTAACAACAACAATAACAAAGTCAATACATTGCTAAAAAAAGGAAAATTAACAATAAAAAACTTGATACAGGAATAATTAATACATAAGTTTCAGCAGATTTAAACACTCGGTGAGAAACTTACCTTGCAGAACTGTACTTCAGCCTCTAAATGATGAATGTACTGAGACTGGTCATTAATGATAGGGACAAGATTTTGCAAAGTAGGCATATTGTTTTCTTCATCTGCTAATGAACTCTAAAGAAGAAAGGACAAATAAAATATGTTCAGATTTAGCAAAGAATCATTATAAACTCTCCAATCTCAATTTATCATTGCTGTGATGTGTATGAGGGTAAACAATAAAATATTGCTACTAAGCCTGAACCACATCCAGATATCCAGAGATGGGAAATTTCCACTTGAAAGGACGAGCAGACCAGCCTGGAACGACTAGAAGAACAGAAGATATTTCTTGAAAGAAAGACCTATGGGAAAAATACAAAACAATAGAGGCAGATGGACTGTTACTACAAGAACTAACAAGTTGCTTGCCCAGGAAACATCAAGGCAAGTGGTCCGGTCCCCTCAGTGCAAACCCCCTTCCAAGAATAAGACTCAATGGGAATACACGCTCTGATTGGTGACCACGCTCGACACCGATAAGGGGACGTGAGAGAAAAACAGCAATGAAATGGCAGCTAAGCCCTACAATGTGGAGAGTGAAGCATTCAGCTGATAAAAAGAGAGGGCATATGCACAAGAACACCACACTTGCAGATAATACCCACTTGACCTGGCTTCAATGACTGGATGACCAGAGGTCAACCAGAAGAAGAAAGAAGAGGGAAAAAAAGAGTACTCTGATACAATTAGATGAACTTGACCTACACCTATGGAAGCAGTAGCTCAAAAGAGGGAACAAATTCTTACAGCAAGAATCATTCCCACCCCCTCCACACACAGAGTAGACAAGGATGGGCAACTTGGACATTGGCTACCCAAAATAGGGGGGTGGGGGGCTACAAAGGGAAGAAGTGACTGGTTTACAAGCTTTCAAGCGGGAACCTAGAACCAGGGGGCCTGGAGGAAGGCAGAATCTCCAGGGAGTAGTATCCAATCTGCATAGGCGGAGCTGATGAAATGAAATGCAGATGTATTGTGATACAACAGTGAATAATTGTTATCAGGACTGATTGTGAAGGTTGGAAATGTAAAGGTAGATGTTTTATAGCAAGGAAGGGAGGGAATA